AAAAAAAAAAAAAAAAAAAGAAAAAGAAAAATTGTATTATCTTTAACTTTTTTTCCTAGTTCAGTAGGCAAAACCAGGCATTATAATCAAAATGTCTTAAATTAATTATAAGAATGGACAAGTATGGGCCATTTCCAAGTTTCTCTCGTGAATTTTCTATTCATGCTCCTTGCTCATTGTTCTGTGTGGACTATGTGACATTGATATTGCTTTGTAAGAACACTTTATATATTAAGGTATATTAAGATTCATTGCTGCTATGCCTTTTGCAAAATATTTTCCCAGTTTGTCTTTAATCTTCTTGGTTTTCCTTTTAACTTGATTCTATTTATTTTTTGTTCTTTTAGGGGGTATTTTTACCTATAGAAAAGAGAAATATTTGCCTATGTGAAAGATTTTGGAAAGACTAAGTTGCTGGTTCATTTTATTTATTTATTTATTTATTTATTTTGAGACAGAGCCTCAAACTGTCACCCTGGGTAGAGTGCCGTAGCATCATAGCTCACAGCAACTTCCAACTTTTGGGCTCAAGTGAGTCTCCTGTCTCAGCCTCCCAAGTAGCTGGGACCACAGGCACCTGCCACAACGCCCAGCTATTTTTTGGTTGCAGCCGTCATTGTTGTTTGGCAGGCCGGGCTGGATTCAAACCCACCAGCTCAAGTGTATATGGCTGGCGCCCTAGCCGCTTGAGCCACAGGCGCTGAGCCATTGCTGGTTCATTTAATTTTTTATTTTATTTATATATTTTGTGTGTGTATGTGCACTTTTCTTTTCTTTTCTTTTTTGTTGTTTGGCGGGCTTGGGCTGGATTCGAACCCGCCACCTTAAGTGTATATGGCTGGCGCCTTAGCCACTTGAGCCACAGGCGCCAAGCCGAATGGTTGACTTTTAAGAAAAAAATAACAGGCTGAATGCTGAGGCTCACACCTGTAATTTCAGCACTTTGGGAGTCTGAAGTGGGATGGTTGTTTGAGGCCAGGAGTTCAAGGACAGCCAAGACCCTGTCTCTAAAAAAAAAAA